AGGCAGAGGGAGAGGGAGAAGCAGGCTCCCCGCTGAGCCAGGAGCCCGATGTGGGGCTCAATCCCAGGACCCTGGGATCATGACCTGAGCCGAAGGCAGATGCTTAACCATCTGAGCCACCCCGGCGCCCCTCAGATTTTTTGATTGCAAATTTTTTTGTATTTTTTATTGTGACCAGCACATACATGTATACATATTATGTGATTTTATGTAGACACAAAAGTTCTATAAAAACACTACTTACCCTTGCTAAACTCTGATAGTTTTATTTCCGTTTTTTAAATAAAAATGTAGGTTATGACCACCAAGCTGGTTTTCTCAACCCACTAATGGACAGAAATCCAGTTTAAAAAGCTCGGCTCCAAATCACCTGACAGCAGGAATGCAAATTATATTTAAAACTGTAAAGCTGGAGACCACAAAAATATGATACATGTGGGACTATTTTGAGATGAATCATTCTTGGAAAATGGGCCAGAAGCTTTCAGACACTCAATGGAAATATGTAAATAGTCCTTGTTTTTCAGGTTTGTGTGTTGGCATTTCTAAAATATGTTAAGTACAGGTCCTGTTACTTCTATCTAGGATGTGAAAGAATGGTCCTGGGAATGTGTGGGTTCCGTGGCTTTTCCTCCTGGGACGCACAGCAAACATTAGAACAGATTAACGTCTGAACCTCATGTTTCTGAAAACTTGGACATGGAACCTTTCTGTGTGTGTCACCTGTAGAACTGTTCTATGGAACACACTTTGGAAAGTGCCAGGAGAAGTAACATCAAGTTCTTAGAAGAATGTACTTCAAATATACAGTGGAGAAGCCCTGCCCCCACCCGCCCCTGGCACACATACTGGCTCCTGAAGGGCATATGGTGATCATCCAGTCTGTAGTCATGCTTGTTTTTAATTGTATCTGTAATAGGTGTTCATAGTAGAAAAGTGAAATGCTGATAAATGGTAAAAAATGAGAATTCTGCAAACTCACCATTCAGAGTCAGTAGCTGAACATTAACATTTTGGTATATATCCTGGCCTTTGGTATATATGCCCCTTCTTATATGTATAAGTAAGTGTGTGAATTGTACACATTCACACATGCATATGTTTTTTGTTACTAACAAATATGGAATCATACTATATATATGGCTATATAATCCCCTTTATCTCAAACGTACCTTCGTGTCAATAAATATTGACATCATGTAGTTGTTGCATAGTGTTCTAGAATATGGCTGTAACATAATTATATTAAGTATCGTTGCACATACCATCTTGTACCATGTTTGGGTCATTCTCTTAGGAGAAATTCTCATTTAAAATTTCTGAGTTAAAGTTAGGTATATTAAAAACAAATCAGGGGGCCCTGGGTGGCTCAGTTGGTTAAGCGACTGCCTTCGGCTCAGGTCGTGATCCTGGAGTCCCGGGATCGAGTCCCGCATCGG